CTGACCACATCTCCTTTCTTTGAGGACATCTTAGAACACTGATAGGTTCCATCGGTGCCAACTGCTTTCAAAGCTCATAGTCTGTGCTTTCCCTATCTCCTGGGCTCTGTATCTTTCGTTTACACCCTCATTCTATTGGAACACATCTTCGACTAGCTTCCTGAGAAAGGATATATGGGAGGCAAATATTTAAGATCTTGCTCATCTAGAAATGCATGTGATCCCTCCTTTGGATTTGCCTGGGTGGGTAGCTGGGGTGCACAGCCTGCTGAGCTGCAGGTCACTTTCCATCCTGCCTGTGCACTGTGGGGAAGCATTACATAGATCTGATCCCCTACCTTTTGGCAGGGATGTCTTGTTTTCCTCTCCAGAAGTTTAAAAGGTCTTTTCTCTGTTCTCTATGCCCTGGAGGGTGGTGATAATGTGTTTGGGAGGGTCTTCTGCTTCTGTGCTAAGGACCTTTTGAACATCTTCTGCAGTATGGTGCCAGCTCCCCTGCTCTGGGGAACATTTCTGAAGGCTCTGTGTACTCTGTCCTGCTTCCCCTGCCTCTGCTCTGGACCTCCGGGACCAGTCCTCTCATGTTTCTTACCTTTTTACCCTTTTTCTACACCTATCTATTCCTTTTTTTTTTTTTTTTTTTTTTTTCTGGCAGAACCAGGGATTGAACTCAATTCCTTCTACTTTCAGATAAACTCTTTAAACTTTATCTCATAAATCTACAAAAATTCTCATTTAATTCTAAGTGTTTTTAGCTCCCCAAAGTCCACTTTCTTCTCTTTCAATTTCCTTTGGGTACCATGCTCTGTAGAACTACTGAAAGCCTGTTCTTACCCCTCTCAGCATAAGCAGGACAGTTTTCCTCTGCTCTGGTCCTCTGTTCCCTATGGACTGATTTTCTTCTTTATTCTGCTATTTTTCACCTTGGGGTATTTCCTCTGTTAGATGCTGGGAATCCCTGACTATTTGCATCATCATTATTAGGCAAACCCTGAGCAGGCAGCAAGGCCTGCCATTGTTGGCTATACCACGTTTCTACTGAGTTGGCCACAGTCCTAGGTCTGTAGGTTCTCTGGGTAAGTTGCCTGTAACCTTGGGATTGTCTCAGCACCTGCAAAGCACTCTCTCCTTGACTAGACCTATTCAGAGCTGTGGTGAAGATGAGTCCTTTGGGCTCACAAACAGATTGTGGCGCCCATCCAGGGCTTCTGACTCTAGGGGTCAGAGCTGGTACCCGAGAATCTGCACCTAAGAATTTATTTTTATTGTACATCGTTGTTACAATACATGATGATTACATTCACAATAAGAACTGGCATATTTACATAATACATCTTAATTCACTTTTTATCCCCTTTCTCTCTGTCTCCTTTTTTTCACCTCTTGGTCCCCTTTCCATCTGCAAGATATCTAGCTCCCTGTTTCCTACCATCTACCCTCTGTTCACGCCTCCACTATGCTGCCTCCAGCCTCTTCAGCTTAGCGAGCCACCCCCTCCCAGTATCCCTGGCTACTATCCTGTGCCCCTTCAGAATTCTGTGGCCTGATCATCCTGGATCCTGTCCTATGCACTAGCTTAGAAGCAGCTTTTCCTCAATCTGCCTGGTTACCAACCCTTCAGCCACCCATTTTTCCAACGTGAATGTTGTGGCCACATTTTTTCTCTTTCTGTGGGTATAAGCTTAAGGAAAATGAAATAAAAGCCAACCCAGGGACCTGGGATTAGGAGGTACAGTTGGCCACCTGAGCAGAAATGCCTACACTGCCTCTGGGTCTTCTCCCCATCCTGTAGCTGCCCACATCTGGCTGAACCTCTGCTTGCCTTCATCTTCTAAATTCCAGGCAATCTTGCAACTGACTTGTTCCCTAAGTGAAGCTTGGGGGTTTCCTCAGTATCCCCCAAGTGAGAGGTGGAGACCCATCTTCTGAGCTTATCTGCTGCAGCCTTGAACATGTGCCATGGCATGCCTCCTAGGACAGGCACCCAAGGCCAACATGGGACTGGATGACAGGAGCAGCACAGCAGGTTTTACTAGAGAAGTGAACAACGCAGTCCCTGGGCTGAGGCTCAAACCAATCTGTGACATCCATAATGGTGAGTGTGTCTCCCAAGAGCCTTTTACAAAGACCTGACAAAAACATTCCAGTGACACACAGAGAGCAGAAGCTCAGAGAAATCATCCTGCAGGGATACGCAGGCTGGCATTTGTGGTCAGGCAGCCCAGACCACAAAGTACTTGTGTGGTGGGAGCCAGAAAGACACCTAGACCTGCCACCCTCTGCTGGGCAATCTCAAGGGAGGGCCTTCTTTTGCTGTTGGCTTCTGCTTCCCAGCTGGGCTGCATAGAAGTGGAACACATGGCAAAGGCCACCAAATCTATCAGGCAGCAGGGGACCTTTATCACAGCCTGCTGTTATCAAGCCTGGGCCAGGCTAGGGCTCTGTGTGCTACTGGGGGCACATGACCAGGCAGGTGTGTCAGTTCTAGCAGTCCCCTTCTGCCTGGCTGCTGTCAAGCAGAGGGTGCCAGTAAGAAATCAAAGTCTGGAGTGGAAGGGGAAAGAAGCATAAAGACCTCAAATAGTGAGGTGCTCAGAGCAGTAGCTGCAGAACCAGCCCCATGCCCAGGTGGTCCTCATACCATGGCACTTATTTCATTTGCTGCACAAGGGAAGAGAGTAGGGTCTCTGCTCCAGGTCCGGCTCTGGAAAATTTCTGGGCACTAGAGAATGGGATATGTGGTGGATTAACTAATGGGCAACTTGTAACACCCAGCTGAACTGAATTAACATGGTTCTGGGTGTAGAAGGCCCACCTGAGGATTGCTGCCAACAGTATAAAAAGAGAACTGGAGGAGAAGAGGGTGCTGTTGCTTCTCCCGGAGAATCTTGTCATGCTGTTTTTCCTGATATGAACTCAGTTGTTTTTATCACTGAAAGAGGCCAGGAACTTGCTGACACTGAGGACAATTGCAGTCCTCCTCCTCAAGAGCTCTGGTCCTTACCTTGAGTGGCACTTTCCAGCTGCAAATCACTAATGCAGACCTTTCAGCTTCCAACACTGACCTTTGGGCCTTCTTCCCAGGACAGATTCTTGGCATAGACTTGCATGAGACATTGTTGTGGCTCTAGGCCTCCAGCTGGATTCATGAAGGACAGTGCCATGAGATCCAGGGCCTCAGCTGGATTCTTTGGGTCTCTAGCACGTGGACAGACCTCTCACACTCTTCTGCATTTGACTTCTTTGGAGGAATATTATAAATAATTGTATAAATTATGTGTCCTATATCAAATCTATTCCCTTGCAAACTAACTACAACAAGATGGGATGTGATAAGGCCAATGTAAGTGCCTATGTGAAAACCTGAGCTGCGGAGGCAGGGCCACGCACACCCAGGCGGTGCTGCCGTAACCCTGCGAGCAGGAAGTGTGACAGTGAACAAGCGTGTAGGCAGATTCAGTCCCCTCAGATGTTACAGGCACAGATTTCTGCTTGCTGGCAGCTGGGCCTCACGGCAGTGCAGAAGCCCCAGCCTCGGGGAGGACACTGGCTAACTGGGTACAGTGGTTGGTGGGGTCCTGGAGACATCACATGCTGAGGATAGCCATGGGGTCCCAGGAACAAGACCAAAGACAATGAAAATACAGATGACATGCAGTTACTGAGCATCTGCTATGTTCCAGGCTCTCTGTAAGGACTTCTAGGCTTCCCTGCCAGCAGGGCTATGACTGCATAAGTGACAGCTGACGCAAGGGAGAATAGATGGCTACTCCAACCCTGGCCTGGCTTCTTTCAGGTCTCGCAACTCAGTATCTGCACACTAGCCCTGTGACAGTCCTGGGTCACCATCTCAGCACTCAATACAAGGTGGGAGCAAACAGGAAGGGACGACAAAGGGCTAATTTGGAGAATGAAAGCCATCCGTCTCTCAACATGCTGTGTTTTAGGAAGGACCCAAATGACAGCTAAGCTACACTTTTCCAGTTTGAGGAAGCTCTCAGGACTGAACAGAATGAGCTGACATATACAGAAGAAGCAAATAGCAAAGGGCTTCACAGAATGAAAGGCAATGCAGAAAAAAACCCACGAAATGCATAGCAAGAAAACAGCAGCCAGCTAGGCACTGTAGTGGCACACATCTATAACCCTAACACTCTGGAAGGCTGAGGCAGGAGGACTGCAAGTTCTAACCTAGCCAAGGCAACTTAGTGCCTTACTGAGCGTTTATCTCAAAATTAAAAAAAAAAAAAAAGGTTTGACAAGGACTGAGGGTATGTGTATAGCTCAATGTAAGGGCCCTGGGTTCAATTCCCAGGACTGCCAAAACAAAATGAAACGGATGCCCCTCTAAACATCCCCCAGGGCACAGTGACAAGGTGAGTCACCAACATCAGAGCTGCTGTCGCCAGGCCACCATGAGACCTAGTGTGGTGAACAGCCAGGCACTCCAACATCACTGAGCCCAGGCTGCAGGGCAGACACACTGAGGCAAGGCACCGTGTAAACAGACTCCACATAGATTCCACCTGTCGCTTTGCTGCATCAGAGGTGACAAGAACAGATCCCAAGGCTGGAACCCTGATTTATAGACTGAAGCCAGCGGTGCAGGCAATGACTTGGTGGCCGGCCTCAAAGGCCTTTGTGGCAGGGCCCCAGGCTGTGAAGGGTACTTAGTGCAGTGAAAGATGGCCCTGATTCCATGGAGGACTGGATTTGCTCATGATTAATGGGGCACACAGCAACTGATAAATGGTATTAATTTGTTTGAGGGATCTGAGAAGATCGTGGTTGCATGCTTCTCCGCAGCTGCCTGAGCTATTTCCTGCTGCCCACAGACATGGATGACTAACCCTGTTTGCACAGCCCCTGGGGACACAGAGCAGCTGTGTGGAACATGGGGCTGGTGTGCCCTGTTCAGCCATCCATGTGGACCTGCTGCTCTGGCATGACAGGTACCTGTGGGACCCATTTGTGGGAAGAAGGCCAGACAAGGGGCCTACCTGCCACCTCTTTGGACGAGGCCAGGCCTGTGGTGGCCTCCAGGTCGGTGGGCACTGGACCTCCTCTCTCCATGGCATGTACAAGCCCCCGCAGCCGCTCGCACTCCTCCTGCAGCCGGTCCCGCTCCTCGCGTAGGCGCTGCTTGGCCAGGCTGGTGGGGTTGAGGGTCATGTGCAGCACTTTGGTTTTGCTCTGGTCATAGTCACCCTGTGGGACCAAGCACAGCACAGGGTCATCTTGAGGGACTTTTGTGGGTGCCAGTGAGTCACATAGCTGGCAGAGACTCGGTGGTCCCTTCACCTGTGTAGGTGCTGCTCACCCACTGCTCAATATGGAGCGAGGCTGCTTCCAACCGACCTTGAAGAGTCACTGAGCTGTGGGAAGATAGCAGGTGCCACAGACTCCTTGGGACCTCACAACCCTCAGTACACAGGAAGCCCCTGCCTTGGTGTCCTGGGGACTGAACCCAGGACTTTCATACTGAGCTGCATCCCAAACCACTTTGTAAGACAGGCTCTTCCTTAGCTGCTGAGGTGCCCACATCAAGCTCAAACCTGAGATCCTCCTGCCTCAGTCTCTCAAAGTGTAGGTGTTATAGGTATGCACCACTGGATTCAGATTTAAATATCAGGTTTATTTATGTTGTCTTTTTAGATAAGGTTTTGCTATGCCTGACCTTGAAGTCACAGTAATCCTCCTGCCTCAGCATCCTGAATGCTGGGATTACAGTCATGTGCCACCATGCCCAGCTTAAATAATAATTTTAAGAACGCATCATGATGTAAATATTCAAATGACTGAGCTCTTACTAATTCACAGTGAAGACCTGCCTGGGAGGTAATACATTTATCTTCTCTCACACTTACATAGGTGTGTAAGTGGATGGTCCTTAATTCACAAGCAAACAGCTGCTGGGGATACAGCTCAATGGCACAAGTGCCTGCCTGGCAAACACAAAGTCCTGAGTTTGAGTCCCAGTACCAAAAAAATTGCCTAATTAACAAGCAAACAAGACATTGTTTTTTAGAGTGCTTTTAGACTGTGGAGAAATTGGGAAGGCAGTGAAGACAGTCCCCATAGACCCCGTATCATTTTCCATCACTACATCTCGCAGGGGCAGTGTGGCCTACCTGTCATATTCCAGGCCCACTCAGGGACCTCAAAGGAGAGGAACCACGACAGATCCCCCAAACATCACATCCCATTAGAGTCTATAGTCAAGGAAATGGGCACTCCTAGAGCAAGGGACAGCTAGATACCCTTGTGCCCTCAAGCTCAAGCCACACCCAAATGCTAATTCTAGAAGGATCACAAAGGTAACATCTTCTTGACCATGGAGTATATACTTAAAGAACATTAAGTGCTATCATCCAGGAAAGGAGGAAGGACCCCAGACTCATGATCAGCCAGTGTTGCTCTCCCACTGGAGCACAGGGCCCTGGCAGTGTGGGGAGAGGCCTGACCCATCCATGGCAGAGGACTCGAGAAACTTAAGCAAGAACATTTCAGAAAATTCCATTTGAAGATGGGCAAAAAACATGAACAGACATTTTACAGAAGAGACCCAAAGAGCTGGTGTGCACTTGGAAGGCGTCCATGCAACTGGGCTGAGCCAGTGGGTGCCCATGGCACTGGCATACAGGACAGGCTGATGGATGCCCAGTACGCAGCAGCACAAGCAAGCTCGCTGCAGGCAGCTTATGTACACTGTGCCCACCTTCCTGAGACTGGAGGCTGTCCAGCCCCTTCACTGACCCAAGATGGACTTCCCCGTGGGGTCTGAAAAGACTTACAAGGTCACAGAAAGGAGCTACGACTGCCTTGAGCCTCAGGATTCCTCCAGGAGGACAGGCCAATGCAGGGCCCCAGCGGTTTCACTAGGTTTTTGCAGAGTGGCCACTAAGGCTGAGGTAGGCCTGGATCCCACTCCTAGGAGGCCCTGGCTGGGGACAGCACTGGCAGTGCATGTGTGACTCAGGGATGTGGTGCCCCAGGGTGGATGGGCCAGTATGATATTGGGCCTGGAGCTAAACCCTCAGGTTGCAGAAGCCATAGTATCTGTCAGGGACAGACACTGAGCCACAAAGCACGCATTCTCACAGGTAGGAACTCCCCTGTGCCCACCACTGAGGAAATAGTATCCATTACCCAGACCACCAGGTGGTCCTGGGAGAGGCTGGGTGGAGACAGTTGGCTAAGCACAGGAGCCTCCAGCCTCCAGCCTCACAGTAGTTCAAGCTGCTGGGGACTACTGTTCCTCCACCAAAGGACAGGATGGCCTAGAACATAATGTGCCCACCTCATGTCCCTCACTGGGGCCAGAGCCTGCTGGCCCCTGACCAGCCACCCAGACTCGCCAGGACATGCCTCCAAAGAAAAGTGGGGCCTGGGGGAGACAAAGTAAGATTTTGCCCCAGTGTGCCTCTCTGGAATAAAAACATGCTAACTTCTGGTCCTGAAGTCCCCTCACCTAAGAGGTCAAGGGGGACAGGATACTGGCATGGGCCAAAGACCCAGGGATAACAAAGTGATGGCAAGGGATACTGCTGGGAGCAGCTGGATTTGCACACACAGTGCCTGGGTGCTATCCTCTGTGCTGTCCCTCCAGCTGGCAAGGGTGAGGCCAGGGGGGAGGGGAGGGGAGGGCCACAGCAGCTGCATGAGACAGGATTCCCAGGCTCCTCACAGGCTTTATGAGAACCTTGTAAAACCTGCAAAGGATGAAGGCACACCTGGAACTCAGCTGAATCACTGTCAGAGCTGCAAGGGACTGTTATTCCACTCAATTTTAACAGTCTAGGGAATACAACCAAGTGTGAAAAATCCAACTGCTCATGCAGCCCTGGCAGAGCCCCATCTCTGGGACCTTGCAGGTGGACATATGCCAGCCTCCTTCCCCTCACAGAGCTAGAGAAGCCAGTTAGGGAACTGGAGAGCTGGTCCAGCACTCCTGTGGAGTCAGCTGGTTGGTCTGGGTTTTCCATGGTGCTCTGTCCAAGTACCCAGCTCTGTGGCCAAGAAAGCAGCCACGACAGACAGGACAGCAACCATGTGCCAGTGAAGCCACATTCAAGGGTACAAATCAATTTTTTTTGGGGGGGGGAACCAGGGATTGAACTCAGACCCTTGCGCTTGCCAGGGAAGCACTTATTCTACTGAGCCATCTCCCCAGCCCCAAAAGCACAAATCATATTTTCCCATAATTTTCAAGTGTGCACAATATTTTCTCCTTTTGCTCCCTGCATGCTTAACTGCTTCTATACATTAAATGGACTTTATCTGACACTCAGAGGTAGCAGAGCCTTCTAGAGATAACTCAGGGAGGGGAGCAAGGAGGGGAGCTGGACAATGACAGGTAGGACACAAGCTCTGTCCAGGATATCCAAAAAGTGGCTAGGGACCTGGCAATGCAGGTAAGAGCAGGTGAAACAGTGGGGAGCCACAAGCACAGGGCCTGGTGGTCTCCAGACATACCTGCTACCTGGAACCTTCTGCACTGTCCTCAAAAAGTCAGGAGTGAAACTCCTGGTCCATGCAGACAGGAGCACAAGACTAGGGGGAAGTGTAAGGCTGTGGAGGTCAGTGGAGGTTTTAGGTCTGGTGCATCTTGGAGGTGAGGAGTGAACAGGCAATCACGGGAGAGATGGTGTCTACCTGGTGCTGAGTGTGGACAGGCACCCTAGTGGAGACTCAGTAAGACTATTGCTCCACTTCACACACAGGGAGTCAGCAGTTGGGTACGGAGGTCAGATGTGATGGCCAGTCAGGACAAAGCCTGATGGTGGGGCTGCATGCACTGTCCATGTCCTTCCATCTGCTTCCTGGGACACTGCACATACTGTAGCAGACAGGCACCCACTTCTGTGTCAGAGAACAGTGGGGCAGCCACCATGGGAGTGTGGGGAAGGAAGGGACTTCTGGCTGAAGACCCTTCTGCATCTGGAAGCTCTAAGGGGAGAGGCTCACTGTCATGAAATGATAGGCTGTTTTCATGCCCACTGGGAGCCAGTGCCTGACACATGTCTACTGTGTCTACAGGAAGGCACTTATGCCACTGAGCTATCTTCCAGGTCTCTACTGTGTCTACAGAGAACAATGGTGACAGCACATCACTTCCTACTGCCCTCATCCTGTACCTTTCTGCACTTCAGCATGAACATTTTATCAGCTGTTACCTGAGGAAGTCAGCTCTGCAGGGATCGGGGCTGTGTTGTGTCCACTGCAGTGGTGTCAGGGCTGAGAACAGTGCCTGGTATGGTGCTAAATATACGCTTGTTCAATGAGTGGGTGATAATTACATTTCCTGAGCCAAGATGTGTCCCTGCAGACTTACAAGTACCATCACTCACCAGGCACAACAACATGTGAGGTGAAAGCCAGCAGGTCCCAGAAAGGACCTGGTCTCCCTCCTTTGATGGCCCCCATGGACCCTCAGCAGCCACCCCTGCACACCTGCCTGGGTCCTGTTTTGTTCAAGCATGGTGGTGCTCACAGGAGCAGGGTGCTGCATAGCTGCTTTGCTAGCATCTGGTATAGGTAGGGTTGGTGGCCCCACTCCAGAGCCCAGTCCCAAGTAGTCACCTGGAGATAAAATCTCCCAAGGAGTTGCAGCAGGCCTGGTGCTTCCTGCCCAGCACTGAGTAGGCACCCATAGGACATAGGGCTTGGGATCCAGACAAAAGATTTTAAAGCTTAGAATGGGAGGCACAGCCAAGCAGCAGAGATAAGGGCCCATGAGGGCATGAGGCAAAAGTAAGAACGGCACCAATGTTCAAGGCCAGTCCAGCTTCAAGGTTTTCCCACAGAGGGATCCAAGTGCTACTTCTACTGGATATACTGTGGCTCCTGTTCCAAGGAAGGCCGGAGATACATCAGGTGCACATGGGTGGCCTCTAAGGACCAGAGTACTAGGTCACTGTCTGTCTAAACATGTCTGTCCATCTATCCAACCAGTATGTATTGTCCAGGACTGCCCCTCCCCTTATAAAGTCCCAAGTGGGGCTCCAGTCAACTAGTGGCTGGGCACAGGGGAGGGAAGATCCCAGTATGCAAGTAGTGCCACCCCCTGGAATTTACCCACCCTCCATGGGTAGAGTGTCATGCCAGTGAGAAAGTATGCCATCCAGGGGCTGGCGCTGCATGGGACGAGCAGATGGGGAGAATGAACAACTTTGCTGAAATCTGCTGCTAGATGACAGCTTTGAGGA